TGTGCAAAACTGTATTAAAACAACCAAAAGAAAAAATCCTCTCAAAGGCATCCAACTCTGAGAAAGCTGAGTGCTTCTGCCTACCCTGATGAAGCAGGGCTGAAGTGTTGGCTCATTAAGGCTACTTTATGTTATTAAAAGGCCTGCTTGACAGCCTGTGAGGTCAAAGGAAAGACTCCCACCACCTTTAACAGGCTCTGGAGCATGTCCTAAAACTTTTCTGCATTGGATGGGCTGAGAGTACATTATCTGAAATGACGTGATTACAATTTACCTCATTATTCAATAAAATAGCTAATTTATTAACATTACATTGAAAGTCCTCTGCAATATATAACTCAAGTTCATGTATTTTTGAGTAAATCAACAAGAGAAATAAATCAGATACAAAACCTTTTGCAATGGGGAACTATTTTTTGATTAGAAAGCAAGAGCAGGGAAGAGCAAGAGTAAAAGCAGAAACTGGACTTAGACTTATCAATGGTCATTTTGATTATCCGGACTGTGTTCAACGTGATTCTAGTCAAACTGGTTTCCCATACATGTATGGATAGAATCAATGCTCTGGTGAAACAATTACAGAACACTTGTAACCAGTCATACTACCTATATAAATATTATAAACATGCAGGTCTCCACCACTTTTTGAATGCCACCTGAAATAAAGCCTTTTTAAGGAGTTTCACAAGCAGCACTCACAGTGAAAAATGTACCAAATACATGTCATATCCTTACACTATTACTGAACATGGGATCTATACATGTAATAATCAAAGGAACTGTAGATGGATGACAGAAAACCAAATCACCATAACCAGAACTCTACATCACCATAACCAGAGCTCAGAAGAACTGTGTAAAGAAGAGAATTTCTTTTCTGTTTTGGTTTCCAAGATCAGTTCAGACTGACAGTAAGCAACTCAAGCAGCACAGTATAATCTATTTTAGCATACCCTATTTTAGGGTAGATGCTTTCACGTGATAGATTAGTTTTCAATTCATGTATAATTTGGTGCAATCTGCTTTTAAAGTAAATCAGAAAAAATGAAACTATTTTTTGTTCACTGTTGCACTACATGTTTGAATTTCCGCATGTTGCCCTTTGGGTTAATACTAGACCAGGTTCACATTTTCAGCTCTAAGCATGCAAAATGTACATATGCTTGGAATGAATATTGTCTTGCAGAACTATTTGGATTCACATTAAAAGGTGTCACATGTCTCACTACTATATACCTTCCATTTAAACTGAAATGTCCATTTAAATCTCTAAAACTTAAAATTTAGTTGGACAACAAGCCCAGCTGATTACCTGAAAGTGCAAGCTGTGCCTCTGATATCTAAACTAATGGTCAGCAAAAGGTTGAAAAAGAACAGATTAATTTATTCTAAAAAGCTAGCAGCACAGTCATTTACACCCAAGCTAAAACTGAAGCAGTGAAAAGAAAAGAGGAGGTGGAGCACACAGAAGTTCTTGAGTGCACTGTGAGCTTGTTCCTGGATGGAACTTCCAGGCACACCCAGCGTGAAGGCACTGGCACATGGTGCTCTCTGCGGGAGCATTAGCAGCACTGGGCACACACAGCTGTGCCTTGCTGCAAAAGTGGGGCTTGCTTTGGGTTTTGGTAGGGAGCCAGCAGTGGCCAGGTTTCCTGAGAGTACGCTGAAATAGTCATTCACAGATGTTTCGGGATAAAAAGTGAGAAGGCTGGTCACCACAAATAAATTGATGTGCTGCTGTAATCCCACTTGACAACACTGAGGCAGCAGAGCAGCATACCCACATGCACACACTTGGACCAGTGCTAATCAGTGGGTTTCTGAGCTCAACCTGGGCCCTGCACTGCTGCAACTACCTGCCTTCTGGACCAAAGCTGGCTGATCTCCCAGCAGACTGGGGTGTGGGTACAGCAGGGCTGCAACTGCCTGTGCTCAGCCATAGCAATTCACCCTTGTAAGAACATCACATTTGCTATTCTCAGCCTTATAAGCAACAGAGAACAATGGCAAAGTCAAAACCAGCTGTGAGTACATACTAGATTGTGATTTCTTTAAACAAAGGCCTCTCGGGTTGCGCAGTTTCTAGTTACATTTACAAAACCACCTTTTCAGTTGCTTTCCAAGATTACAAAATTCTACAGGAAGGAATCTGCAGGAAGGTTCCTCTAAGTGTGATTCCTCCCCCTGGCTTTTGTGTATTTGGAAACAACTTTTACTGCCATTATCACAGCCTATATATTACATGGACAAAGTTTCACCCCACGCACAAGATGAACAGACTTTACAAGCCTTTCTCACATAAACATGCTTCTAAATTTAAAAGAAAAAATTTTTTTTTTCCTGATTTCAATACTTGGAAATTCAGATTTGTGCCATAAAGTGTCATAATTCCTGCCCATACACTGCTGTTGGACTCTAAGCATGTCATTTTTAAAATGTCCCTCCCGGGTGCCATCCCCTCTGTACTGCCAGCCACATGCATGTGTCTAGAGCATGCCTGCTTGTACCACAAGTACAAAAGCTTTGCAAGAGTGACATGATGTCCCAGAAACATGATTAAATACTCTTGAAGACAGAATTATCTTTATTTGTAAATACTTCTCAGGTTAAAATCCACCTCTGCAAAAGCCTATAGGAATATATGGAAAATTGGATTCTACCTTTGTGACATGCAGGTAGCAGATACTGCACTGACAGGAGACATCCATGAGCAGAAGCAACAAAGTTTAAAAAAAAAAAGCAAGTTCAGGGTTTCTTCTCTTTCATCTTTAACACAGACTACACAGACCTTCTGACAATTGCACACCAGACTTCTGCTGCAAGGAGCATACTAATTAAGTATTTATTACAAGTATTTATAGGATTTATTACAACAACTCAACTTATTCCTGTGGCATGGGAAGTGCCATGTAATTTCTTACTGTAGCAGGAGTGTCCAAATAATTTCAGAAGGCTATGGCTCGTTTTAAAATGACTTAAAGGAGATTTTTCAAATGCACAAGAGGTGGTTACATGCTGCCAGTAGCCTGCACACCTAAATATCTCTCCTTCCGAAGTCCAAGATTGAAAACTGATTCACAAACTAAATGGGATGTAGCTGTTTAAAATATGTAGTCATCTTAAAAACCAGCAGATACAGATGTCTGTTATATAGTGCTTAACTCAAGAAGGATTTAATTGTATGTTGAGAGCAAGCCGTGTCCTTTAGGGGAAAGAGAAGGGCAATTTCAGAGAGTGAAAATACCAGAAAAACAGCTTTGGCCACCACCTGCAGCTCCAGCAAAAATGTGATTTCAGCATTGCTGCTGTGTTGTCATGTATACCACTGTTTGCTGAGTCCAACCGAAATTCTCTATTTTTAGCCTTTCAGCTACTTGCAGATAAAATTCCTGCAGATAGGACTAGCTGTATAGCACAGATAACATACAACTCTGAAACCACAGATGACCTCATGCAACTGCAAAGAAAGAAGTGTCTGTTACTTAAAACAAGGCTAAAATTTAACTTGGCTGTACTAAAATTAAACAGGGAGTGTTTTACAGTCCCATTACAAGACATAAAACAACAGTTGCTATAAATTCACAGTGTACTTACTTGCAAGGATGTAAAAGAGTAATTAATAATCCTCAAACAGCTTATCTCTGAGCAGTGCACCACCAAAGCTTTCCCAGGGTCGTTGGAGATTTTACAAACAGCACCGAGAAGCTATTTGAAATGTCACTTAAGAATTATTTGTCCAAACTGAAAAGTTGTTGCTCTTTGTCACAAGTCACAAGACATTTTTTAGTGTTCTACACTTTTAGTTGACATTACGGAGTGAAAATAAATAAATGTAATCTGAACTTTCTGGAAAGGGCTTCCACGTGTAAGAGCACTTACTAACCACAGATGCACACAAGCACTGCACAGTGATTCTTCTTTTTGCAAAACGCACCTTCCTGTCTTTTACTTCAGCCTTTCCATCTGTCCTCCTTCATACCAAAAGGCACCTGTTGCCTTTATTTCCAGCTAACTGAAGTACAGTTCTGAGCAGTATAATTCAATTTTATCTTATGTATTTAAGGAGAAATGTGTGAGGAACAGACATGTCACAAGCGAGTGTTGCTCACACATCTTTTGGTTTACAGAATATTTACTGGATGTTTCTGCGGAACAAATCCTTCACGTTATCACATAATTCCTGTTGTGGAAGAAACACTCTGAAAGCTCCCTTCCTCATGAATAAAAATCACTCCTTAACACTAAATAAACAGTTAAGATACATGACTGTAAGGTCATGTATCTTAAGGTAAAGAAATTCCCCCCTTCATCAAATCAGTTTAAGGATCAGTAAAGGATTCAAACGATTTCTTTTAACTGTCCCTTTCTTTCCTTAATACCAACATAGGCCAACCTATATTTTTTAACAATGTCATAGCATCTTCCTGTCATTTAATTTTTCAAGCACAGCCAGCACTGAAATAAAGGGTTACAAACTACTTAACTGCTAATTTGAGATTACAGAAAAAGTCAGATTTTTTCTGGCTTCGTGTTATTTGAAAGGAGAAACTCCATTTGTCATAAGGAATAAAAACCACGACGGAACAAGTCCTGCTATCGTTCTCTCTAAGGAATTGTAGGTGGAGTTATATAAACAACAGAGCAATGATCAAAGGGAGATCTTAGGGACCATAATATACTGAGGTATTAGAGGCACAGAGACTTTTATCTATTGTGGAGGAAGGAAGTAGAGCATTGAGACATGTGTAATATATACAATTAAAAATCAAAACCTGAAACAAGTCCCAAAAAGACTGAAATCAATTAAAGTCTGTTATTTTTTTCTTACTCTTAAAATGACAAGAAAGAACCAAATATGCAATTGCAATTACATTCCATCACCTGGAAAAGCCTAGCATTGAATTATATTTTAAGCTGAGTTTTTCCCCACATCCTATGAAACAAGCACTGTTTTATCATAGACCATGTTCTCATTCACTGACAGTCTAACTGACACTTACCTTGTCCTCCACTCTGTTCAGCCTGGCACCAATTGTGTTATTCCCTCGATCTTTGCTTTTTTCTGTGAAACAAGAAACATTTTCAAATTAATATACAATGCTATAACAAAATAGCAGCAAGCCACAACAGGGTGTGTTTAACTGGCCCACCAACACAGTGTAATTGAACACCTTTGCCAGGCTGGTAGTTCTATTCCTTAAAAGCAGTTTTTTGTTTCTTTTTATAGCATTAGCCCACACCATGGCTTTTAATAGCCCTTAAGCTTAAGGCATTTTCAACCTTAATTTATGGTTTAACTTGGGAGTACAAAACTATTCCAAATCTAGTTAATGTTTCAATTGTAATTTAAAAACAATCTGCTGCTATGCAGAAGCCAGGACAGCCAACTGGAACAATGCATTTGGTAACATTTTGTATTTTTTCCCATATATACTATGTAGCAACATGGAGTTGAAAATGACATTAACAGAGTTTTCATTAGTCAGACTTGTCACAAACAAACATAGTACTTTGTGCTCCTTTTCCAGTCTCTTTTCAAAGTTAATAAAGCTCTGTATGAATATTACTGATTTTATAGGAACTCTGTAATAATAGCATGCCATTTTATCAAAAGCATGGTGAATCTTGGAAAGATTAGAGCCAACATTTGAAAAACTTCAGTGAAAGTAGGTGCTTTAAATATCTAAATAAGAACAACTCTATTTTAATAGTGATGATGCTGAAATATTATTGCGGATGCTTAAGCTTCAGACCACAACTGGTTGGTACTGTAACAAAATTGGCAACAAAATAAAAAAATTAACAAGTATCTTCCATTAATCATATCTTCATCAGATTAACTTTAAAAACATCCTTCATGTTAACTTACCTGAGACTGAGATAAAAAGAGATGGCTTCCCTATGCATTGGTCCAATCTATAAAACAAAAATAAAAATGTTTAGTCTTTATGAGGCTGAATTAGCATCTTCACTTTCTCTAGGCTGGAGTGAGGAGACCTCTTTGCAAACAAGCACAGTGAAGTTCAAGTATTTCTGGTTTGTACTGCAAGTGAAGCAGTTCATTTGGGCTAAGAAGAGGGGCTTGAAAATAAAAAATATAATACAAAATGGACTTAGTCTTAAACTGGTCTTTAGCTTCTTTAACCACTGTAAAGTTTTACCATGCCTATTGTTTTTCTACATGAATGGCATGATTTCCTCTTTTTCTTGTTCTTCAGTTTACTTGTTGCAGCTTTCTGTTGCCTCTTAATTTGTACTTAAGTGCAATTCCACCAGAGCAGGCAACTGTATTTTGCTCTAGGGTAGCCACCTGCCTCACCATTGTTTGACCACTCCCACTGGCCATCTTTGCATCTGAGTGCCTCAAAGGTCAGCTCCTGAGGTCCCTGTGGCTATGGTGCCTGGCAGTGAGGTGGCTCCTTACTTCAGGAGACCACTGTGATGGTGATGTCTGTGGCCAAACGTGGCTGTTGGAAGAGCCGGGGGCAGTGGCCTGAGAGATGGCCTCATTTGGGAGGAGGTTTGGGGAGGCAAACAGCTCCTTTCCTGCATATCACACCTCTCTGCCATTCTGCTGCCCTGGGATCCCCTTGTGTGCTGTGACCTCAACCCACCCCCTGGAGTCCTCTGGATGAGATGGCAGCACTAGTGTTCCAGGAGGGTCGGGGTCCTCAGTGACACCCTTCCTCACCTGACCTGGCCTTGAACACTTCCAGGGATGGGGCAGCCACAGCTTCTCTGGGCAACCTGTCTCACTGGGCCAGTGTCTCACCACCCTCACAATCAGTAACTTCTTCCCAGTATCTCACCTTCCAGTTTTAAGCCATTACACCTTGTTCTGTCACTCAACACCCTCATAGTAAGTCCCTCCTGAGCTTTGTTGTAGGCCTCCCTCAGGTACTGGAAGGCTGCTGCAAGGTCTCCCCAGAGCCTCTTCTCCAGTTTTACTGATGCATTGAGTTTCAAAACCCAGTAAAATATTTTTAAGGTATGCCATAACAAAAAGCAAATTTCACTTCATGTTGAGTAGATTCACTCAGGAAAAAAAGGCAACAATTCAGGACAGAAAAGTAGGCACAAAACCCCCCAAAAAACCAACAAGTCAAAAATGAATTCACAGAAGATGAAGCCAAAAGGCCACACTGATTTCCTAATGCTGGCTTAAGTGTTTAGTCCCACACTTCCATCTATCCCTACTAATCTAGTAGAATAGTGACTACAAACTCTCCTTTTCTGGCTTTCCATTACACCAACATACCAATACTGAGAGCTGAGGACATGAAATTTCACATTTTTTCCAGTACATCCAGACAAGCTGCTCCTTAAGGCCGATTCGTTAGGCAGCTCTTCAGGGAATGAAAGATCGTGAACCAAAAAGATCACAAACCAAGATCAAACAGCTCAGTTTTGTATTTGTATGACCCCACTCAGATGTTTTGCCAGAACTGCACTTCCTGTGCAGAAGGTGCTGTAAGCAAAACATTCACGTAGACTTGGAAGGCAGAGCAAGTGCCTATTAATGAAAAACCAACAGCTTTGGTTTTGAGATGCCTGAACACATGAATTAAAAGAAGAATATTCCATCCTTGTTTATGTGCTCCTCTGAGCTTCTTCTGCAACCATGGCTCTTTCAATAATAAAATAAGCAGTTCTATAAATCCTGTGTCAGATAACAATCTTCATAAAGATTTCTAATTTGAAACATAATTTATTCTTCATTATTCTACAAGCATTTTATGTCGTTGCTCATTCATTAAACTGAAGTACTGACATTGCTATCATCTTCTGGTCCTTTTAACAAAAAGACAGTCATCATTACTCTAAAATAAAAAGCTATAATAGTTAGCAATGGTTTCATCATCACTACACAGTATAAGACAAATATCAAGAAATTAATTCATCTGGTCAAGTTCACCATAAAAGAATGAATTAATCACAAAAGTCAGCATCTACAGTTTAGGTCAGCTGTCACTGAACCATCCTCACAGTTTCATAAACTCTCAGCAGGGTCTACAAACACATTATAGACAAGAGCCTGAAAAGGGCTACAGGAACTGCCCCTTTAAGCATTACTCTTTTAAGTTGCTGACTAAATCCTGGCTTCACTACTAAAAATTCTTGGAGCAACGTAACGTGCTATTTTAAAATATTTTAAACATGGACTTACTCACAAATTCTTTAGTATAGACAGCCCCTATACCAATTACTGTACCTAACACTTAATGGGTTCTCTTAAATTACATCTCTTTCTGCCAAATACATCTCCATTTCACTGTTGCACTACTTGAATACCAATAGAGAGGACTGAAATTTTTCCAGATACACCTGCAAGGTACCCATCTAAGTAATTCTGAAAACACTTCCTATGTTTCAAGCAATCCATCATCAGAGTATTACTTTAGAAACGGACATCTTATGACTGATTTGTAATGGGAAATGCACTCAAAGGCATTCTTTTTGGAACAGAAACTGTACTGAAAGCTAGAAAATATCGTACCTATATTTCCCCTGTCATCTTCAAGTTAGTTTGCAATGAATAACATCCTTCCCAAGAAAAGCATAAGAACCATGCTAGGCTCCCAAGAAAAACTAGGAGCAGAAATCAGCTTGTGCCCTACATTTATGCACATACGCTGCTTCAAAACATCATCAGACTTCAAACAAATTTGTCAGAGAAGTACAGAGCTCTTCAAAGTCACAACTTCAGCCATCCAAAGATGTTAAGCTCCTTTTACATTACACTAGGCAACAGATACAAACATCTCTCTGTTGGTATTTATGGATACAGACACTGAACTTTATTGACATACCTCCTCTGTAACTCCTTGATTCGCACCATCAGGTTGAGGTGACCCTGAGAATACTGCTCAATAACATCTCGGACATCATAGGGCTTTCTAGCTTGCTGTAAAAAAAACAAACCCAAACAAAACATCTTTTAGCCACAAGGACACAGGAATGGTCTACAGTAATGTAGATTATTTTTAAAAAATAAACAGTAAGTTCTTTTAACCTCTTTTAACACTGTGTAAACATTTGAGATACTTTGATTGTTGTCATGACCATATATTTTTTGTGGAATAATTATGACAGTTCTGATTTCATCCACATTTTTGTTACTGCAGATCTCCATGCCCTTCAAGAGATTATCCCCCAAACACGAGGCCAAAAAGGTATATCTGACACTTGCTCAGATGTCTGTGGTCCTTCTAGTTTCTTCCAGAAATAAGGTTTATATTCTTTGGCCACTGAACAGTAAAGAGGTCATTCACAGGCACAAGCCCTTATTCTCAGTTGCTAGCAAGACAGCTGGAGTTCCCAGTTCAGCTCTAACCATGGGAAGGTTAAAGCACAGTCCTGGCTGAAGGTGCACAGTTTGCTCTTCCAGAAAAACTGGCTGAGCTTTGAAATCTACTGGGAAATACTGGCAAAAGGAATGTAGTGTAAAAAAGGAACTGGTGTAAGGAATGACCATGGAGAAAGTAGGTAATTTGCACTTCATATATGGAAAAGCTTTAGTCTGTCCTATTAGCAAAAAAATACTTCTGCAGAATATAAAAGGTAAAGACCATAATTTTAACCAATAAACACCAAGACTAACTGGAAAGCAAGTGAACTAACTTGTTGAAGTGCAGTGAAAAATTAAGAATATCTTAATCCTACATCTAGGAACTAGAGTCCAATCAGTTCCAGAGCTACACTGGAGAAGCAGCTAGGAAGCTCTAACACAATTGAGGAATAGGGTGTAAACTTCACTCATTAGGCTGGAGAGTAACACTTGAACTTACAATGCAGTAAAAAACTTTTTCTCAAATATGATCATCAACTCAGTGAAATAACACAGTAACAACAGATATGCTGGTAGGTTGAGGGAGATGATTCTGCCCCTCAGCTCCTCTCTGGTGAGACCCCACCCAGAGTATTGTATCCTGCTCTGGAATCCTCAGCACTGCTGTAGTGAGTCTTTGTGACCCTTCTCTCGACTATCATAGGGCTGGAACATCTCTCCTATGAAGACAGGCTGAGAAAGTTGGAGTTGTTCAGCCTGGAGAAGAGGAAGCTCCAGGGAGACCTTCCACTACCTGAAGGGGGCTTTTAAGAAAGGTGGGGAGAGACTTCTTAGTCATGGGACAGGGGACAATGGTTTTAAACTGAAAGAGGGTAGATTTAGACTAGATAAAAGGAAGATTGTTTTTCACTGTGAAGGTGGTAAGACACTGGGACAGGTTGCCCAGAGTGGTGGTAGATGCCTCATCCCTGGGAATACTTGAAGGTCAGGCTGGACAGGACTCTGAGCAACATGATCTAGCTGAAGATGTCCCTGCTCATTGCAGGGGGTTTGGACTAGATGATCTTTTAAGGTCCCTTTCAACCCAAACCATTCTATGATTCTGTATTTCTGACGCATTCCTTATGCTGTTTATAGACAACTCTGTAGCTAATTTTCAAGGTTTAATGAACCTTGTACTCAGTGGTAACCCTGAGTTACAACTTTTTCTTTCTTGCATCTTTTGAGAACAAGGAAAATAGTTTACAGTGGTAGCTTCTAATACACCAGAATCATACTCCATTTGAGGTCTCAGAAATATTTTGCCACCTGCACTTCAAAAACAGGAGGATATCTCTGCACTGCTTAACCTTATTTCACAAGCTACAAGTTTTCCTCATTTCTGTGACACAAATACCTTCTTTTTTAAGCCAAACAAAAGCAGGATACAATATAAAAACCAGGCTGTGGCACTTCCATGCAGTCCCCTGCACCTGCCTGAGAAGTAGCTCCCACATTTTAGGAATAAGTATTTTAATAATTATTATTTAATAATATCACTTAATAAAAAAAATACTATTTTGGTCTTCTAGATTGCCCAAAGTCAACTGCAAACCCTGGGTGAATATGAGGTAATGTCTAATGGAAGGCTAAACAGGGAATTGCTTCAATCTAATCAAACAGGACACAGAAGAATTCCCAAGAACCCCAACTGCTCACACACATATAAATCATAAGTAACATTGACAAAGAAAGAAATATGATTCAACTATGGCATAAGCCAGCAAGTCTTTCCATGGACTAGTACAGGAAACACGATGATATTAAAAAAAAAAAAAGTAATAAAAAATTATTGGGTTATTTTCCTATTATAAATAAGCAAGAGATAAATCTGCAAGATAGGCCAGAAAACTCCAGTTCAGAAAAGCTGTTCAGTACGAATAAAGATGCAGAGCTTTCTCCTGTCATCCTCTAATGCAGGTGTCTGACAGCAGAAAGAGTAGGTATGTCCCTGTCTATTTACCAGGCTGCTTCTTCTCTTTCAAATAAGAACTAAAAACCTGGAGTAAATAAATTAATTTCTGATTAGCACTGGGTATCCATAGCATCACAGAATGGCTTGGGTTGGAAGAGACACTAAAGATCACCTACTTCCAACTCTCCTGCACGGACAGGGACACCTCCCACTAGATCAGATTGCTCAGATTCCCATCTAACTTGGCCTTGAACACTTCCAGAGAGGGGGCGTCCACAACTTCCCTGGACAACCTGTGACAGTGTCTCACCACCCTCACAGTGAAGAATTTCTTCCCAATACCTAATCTGTATCTCCCTTCTTCAGGTTTTAATCCATTACCCCTTGTCCTCTCACTCACCAGCTTTCTTGTAGGCCTTCAGGTACTGGAAGGCTGATTATTCTGCAATGACTTTGTACTGAAAGCTGATCTTTCAAGAGAAAATGCTTTTGATGTGGACAACATGTTAGTTTTTTAGAAGGAACAAAACCTGCAGCAGGCAGCAGATGAGTATTGGAAGAAACAAAAAGAAAGGCAGTTGCACAGCTTTCCTTAACTACTACTTTTCTTTACCTTCATCCTTCTGCTAATTAACTAATACTCATAGCAAAAATCTTAAATTAGTTACAATTTTCCCCATAATATATAAAAGTTTGCAAAAGGCACTGAAGTCAAGGTCAAATAGTCCATGTGCACCACTGGCTACTACTGTTCCCTAGTAGCTGCATACACATGGAAGCAGAGCTGGGAAAGGGAGAGGGGAATGCATGTGAGTGGGAACTTCTGGGAAATGTAACCAAAGAACAGTCCAATAAAATGGGCTGAACATCCTTTGAAGCACAGAACACTCCAAACTTCATTGTTTGGTACAGCCCTGTGTGGAGATTAGAAAAGATTACACACACAATTCCTGATTCATACCATGACAAATGAGTTACGTAAAATGATGAATTATAAGACTATAAATGCAAGATTTTCCAGTGAAATTGTAACAAACCAGGCAACACTCACATCATCAGTGGAACTGCAACCTGTATTTTTATCTTATGCTATGCATAGAGTATTTTCCATGGTGAAAAACATAACACAATTTTTAAATGTATTTTGGAAGGAAACTGACTGACTCAACAGGAAGAATTGACACGGAAAGAGACTAACATGACAATGGGAAATCAGATAAAATCCCTGGTCTCTGGATGTGTGATGGGTTTCACAGTTGTATCCTTGTGTGTAAGCCTGAAGACATTCAGAAACTTTCCTAACTGGAAGACAAAACTTACTTGCTCATTAATCCAGCTACAGGAACAACAGAATATGGTGATTGTTTCTCTGAAATTGAGTTGGAACTGAATGTGATTTAGACATGTGATTTATAACTAATATACGAAATTCATTTTTGGTAGGTAGGGTGAAGAAAGCCTGTAAAACTATCAGTTTCTAAATATTGTTTTCCCTATCTACAGAATTTTCCCTTAAACATAAGCCATTCACCTTAACCAATGTACAGAACTTGTGTTGACTACTAGTAGAATATGATCTTTCCTACACTTTTTGAAACAGTCTCACAGATGTTAGAAGAGCATAAACACATCCATTAAAAAGGTATCAATTCTGTGTTCTTACATGGACAGCAAACCTATCTTTAAAACAGAGCATACATTTCTCCCCTTCTTTTAATGAGGAAATGATGCCCAAGCATGATGCTTCACAAAGAATTGCTTTTCATGTCCTTTGAAATTTCTTTGTATCCCTGTTTAGCTTTTCTTTGTTTATTTTATTTAATTTTTTTAAACAGGAAGACTCTGCTTTCTAAACGACTTTTGTCCTTGTGATGCCATCACCCTTTGGTATTAATTGAGCTCTTAAAAAATGTATCTAGGCAAATTTAGGCATAGAGGTATATCCTGCAAGCAGCTGGCATAGCATAAGAACCATGCTGGGACCTATTGTGCAAAATTTTCCTCTTCCTCTCCTTTTTTCTCTGCTTCCCCTCCCCAAAAGCTTCAGAGGCATCTTTAAAATTACTGCTTTTAAGTACTGGCTTTGCAATTACTTTTGTTCCAGCTAATTTTAAGCTTGAACAGTCCAATGCATTTCAGCTGGAATTTGAGGGTTGTGTTATTTTTTTCAATAGTTATAGAAAAAGAAAAAATAAATCTGATTTTTCTTTTAGGAAGATACATTTCACATAAACAGAAAAGACTTTGAAGGCAAGTATCTACCGAAAAGCAGGCCTCTTAAATGCTGAAAGATACATTTGTTAAAATGCATCTTAGGCTCTTTGTTACTTTTAGATACTGCAGTGAACTGGTTGTTAGGAAGTGTATAGTCATTACTTGGCATATATTTACGCATTTTAATTTCTTATGACTATTTTATGTGCATATAATAGAAGAAAGCAGATTTACAACATAGTTTTGAAGAAAGAATAATGACTGTGGGTATCTCTTAATTACAGGAGAGATTTTCAAAAGCACCTTGTGGCTTGAATTTCAAGGTGACTTTGTGCATTAAGTTACTTATGTGCTTTTGAAAAATGCACCTTTGGTACTCTCCAAATTTTTAAACTCGGTCATAACCTTGTATTCAGAAATTATGGAGAAGTATCAGGTATCCCCCACACTTTCCTACTGGGAGATTCTGCTTCTGACAGAAACAGCAGCACATCACTTTTATGCAGGAGTGACTTGAGATACATTTCACTTCAGCCTAACTGACATTTTTAGTTCTTTAGTAACAGCTAATACTGATAGCTCAGGAAGAAGAAAGACTTTAGAAGAACGAGAGACAACTTTGTTGAGGGATTTTGCAGATGGCCAAGACCAGGTCTTTTGCAGATGCAAAAGTGAGAGTACAACTGAGAAGCCAGATTAGCAACTGGGACACCGAGTACAAACAAGTTTTAAGTATGAACTGAATAGTCTCATTCTATTCAGTCAAATGCTTTTTCAGCTTCTATCAAATCATCTGCCACAGGGGAGTTTTGTTTATTTGCCAGGTGGATAATGTTGCACACAGGGTTCAGGCATTTTCAAAATCTGTTTTTGACAAATACCACTTGGGAGGTAGATATAAAATGTGTAGAGTTCTTGTTTCTAAGTAGTTTAGTCAATACCATGGCAAATATTTAATTATCTAAATTTATGAGAACAATTATTCAGCAATTACCATGGAGCAAAGGATCACAATCAGGTTTTAGAATGAGAATAAATTCAAGTTTAATGGAACAGGCCACATTTAGACAGTTTTTCACTGGAATGGGCCACGTGCCTTGCCAAGTTACAAGTGCTGGCCAGCAAGTGTTAAGGAGCTTCTCAACAAAATTACTACAAAGAATATTTTCAACAAAATTAATATAAAGAATATTTTCTAAGAATATTTCCAGGCTACTTTCTTATTATTAGTCTAATAAAAACAACAGGTGAAACATTCTAGAAAAAAACTTCCTGAAAATAAAATAAAAATCAAAGTAGAAAATTGCTAAAAGAATTCAGGCATTGCTTCTACATTTCAATGAGGAAGTCAGAATCATGGTTTTGAAGTAGGAGCATCACCTTACAGAAAAAAATACATCTTGGACTCTTAAGTCATCATCATGCAAGATCATCACCATCTTTTTGATCCTAAACTTTACGCCCTTCAAATTTGAAGGAAAAAGGGCACCTTCCCTTTTTTTGGGGGGGGTCCTAGATTAAGGGTAGGAAATCTTTTTAGTCTATTGTAAAATGTAGTGGGGAGGTCATATATGAAAATGGATGTGGGCAGTTAAGCTTCTCTTACTCTTTGCATTTGCAGTTGTGAAGCCTGTTCTCTGGAGATTAATTTTAAGTAATACGTTTCTTACATATATATACATACATATATATATATGTATTCACCTAGTTTAAAGCAAGCTGAAGGCTGCTGACACCACTGGATTAATGAAATTGATTTAGAAACCACATTCTTGAAAAGTCTGCTGTTGGAAATTTTTAATTCAGACCAGGCAACAAAGTTAATTCCCTACTGTTAAATGGGCACAGTATAGCAGTATCACAGCAAGTGAAGTGGCACACAGGAAATATATGTCAGAGGAGGCTAGAGGAGTTAAGAGAACCCTTCTACCTCTAAATGGGGTGTCCTACCTATGCAGAGGGGAGAAGAGAAAAGGAATGAGAAACTTTCCAATAAGCTAAGAATTCTTATCAGGACTTCATTATCATCAAGTAAGAGACAGAAACAAGACTGAGGTAGTACTTAAATCCCTAATCCTACTGACCTGGCATGACAGTAACATACAGCTCAGAATTAATGGAGACATATGAGACTGTTTGCACTGCGAGAAAGAGACCGAGATAACAGAGGGTTAAGGGTCAAGTCCATTAGCAGAAAATAACATTTCAATTCAGACTCCATCTCAGGAGTTTAGCCTACTTCCAGTGCATCCACAGTTGACTAGCCTGCTGCTAAACAACCACCCCATTGAAGGAGGAAGAGAATGGTGGGTGTAGCTCACCATTACTGAAATGAATTGTTAGTCTCTCTTAAGTTTCTAAAAGAAACAATGAATCAGGAGAGTAAAAGGGTTTCTTTAGAAAAGAAGCTTTCTATTCACAACTCACCTGAAACTTTTTCTTTGCCACAAAATACTGCATCCTACGAATCACCTTAATTGCAGCACGGTGGTGTTCTCGCAGCCTGTGGGAAAAATGAAGAAGGTGAGTGGGGTGAAAGAGCATCTCCATCCAGACAATAAATATTACAGTCGGCAGTAAATGCTTCACTAACACGTGAATGTGTAATGTAAGTCACTGTGATTCAGCCTGTGAGCACAACACACTATTATGTTGACCTTCCTCACTTTTTGAGTAGGCTATAAACATCCAGGATTTTATCTGACTTAGGCTAAGTTTGCATGCATTTTACAGCAAAAAGAGTTGCCCACATAAACTCCTCCTATGTCTAAGAAAACCTCAGCCCATCTTTTCCAGTTTCATTTCCACACATACACACACAAAAAAAAAAAAAAAAAAGGAAAAAAGAAGCTATTAAGTTTCTGCATATTCAGCCATGCATAGCTTTCATACATGGCCAGGCTAGAAATCTAGCTTGTGTGGTTTTTGTGTCACTCCCCCCATCAAGTCCTATATGTGTTTATATATGTTTCTTCACTTAGGCAAATTCTTTTCTCAAAAATTATTTTAAAAAACCCACAACAAACATTTTGAAGATTTTTGAGTCGTCCCCCCATCAAGTCCTATATGTGTTCATATGTTTCTTCACTTATTCAAATTCTTTTCTCAAAAATTATTTAAAAAACCCCACAACAAACATTTTGAAGATTTTTGAGTCTTTAACTACTAAATAATTCCAAATTATCTTGTGGTAGCTGGATACAATGTCTACATACACAGGTATCTGAAAACTGGACTGTAAGTGTACTTAAAGACAAAATAATCTGAAAGGTCTAATAACAAATACATCCCACTCTTCGTGTACATGCATATGAAGAGAAAACAGAACTAAAAAATAAAAATTTGTTCTTTATACTTTAAAATTAACAGATTGTCATAGTATGACATTATTTTTTAAGCAGTTCATTAAGAGTAACTGATATTTAAATTTTTTCAAAGATTGCAAAAATTCTGTATTTTTCTTCTTAATATTAAAATACTGAATCAAACATTGCAGGTGTGCTGATGATTTATTCTACTTGCTCATTTTATTACTCTTATCTAGATGCACCTAAATGACATTATTGCACAATATTTATTTCTTTCTTAAATGCATGAACATCTAGTAATTATAACACTCATCCCAGACTTCTAGTCATGGCTTTGGGGAAGCAGCAGCAAATCCAAGTTAGATATTCCAGATGTTCATCTTTATAAAATTATTATTAGTAATACTGACAGATTAGCATATGCACAGGCAGTGCTTTCTGTCTGTTCTGAACTTGACAGCATTCATGCTCACTACATGAGAGAAAAGTAATATTTAAGTCTTGTACAGGCTTAGGTCTTAAGTATGATATAGCATGGTATCACCCAAGTTTCTTCAGTTAAATATAACCTGGAATTCCAGTAAGTATTCACATATTTCCTCAGGACAAATCTCCTCCAGCAAAGAGAAGTTGTGCATATGCAAATGCTGAATGTCTGTCCTCTGAAAAGCATGGCACATGTACTTGGGGAATTCTCTTTCTGAAAACTCACTCTTTTTAGTGGGAAAATAGTTTTCCGTGAAGTCAAAAAGAGAACCAAAAAACCCTCTCATGTTCTACTTTAGATACTGCCTCTCAGGTGGTTTTTTTGTGTTACAGAAATTGTTACCACTTAGCAGTGACAGAAAAGATTATTTCCTGTGGATACAGTATAAAATACAATTGCTTTCCAAAACTGATAACATATAGCTTTTCACCACAGGTTTACTAATCACCAGGACTTTAAAGCAACTGCACCTCAATAATTATGCACCGACCTGTGAATCTGCAGTTGGATCTGTATATAGAGGCCTTTCCCTCTTCACACCTCAGTGAGGTGTCTCAGAGAGACTCTCTACAGGTCTTCAGATCTGACTGCAAGATCATGACAGTTCATCTTACACAAATGGAAATTTGCTCCTCCTGACTGGGATAGCTGCTTGTTTGGATCTCGGTGAACGGAGGTAGCCTAGTGCTAGTTCATGACCACTCTGCCCTGTGAGCCCTTGCTGCACTGCTAGGGACAAGGACAACTTCTAAAAAAAAACAACCCCAAAAACCTAAAGAAATTAAGCATTCAGGGTTTTAAAGTTCCTCTTCACAAGGATAGGAGCAAAAAAGGTAGGCACTGTGCTCAATTTGCCAGTAAACATCAAAGGTGTGAAAGTGTAACTGTCATGCAGCCATACATGCTGTACATAAATGCACACAGAAACATCATATGACGGGTAGAAATCAATTTAAATTGCAACAAAACTGCTTGTAATATTTTGCTTTATGCCTTATTTCCTTTGGGGTGTCTTCTACAGTCTGTTATTTCTGAGTAAAGTATTTTTCTCTGGGACAGACGATCACACTGTGTGTAAAGCACATCAAATCCCTCATTCTCTATCTAGATGATGAGTCACATCTACAAGCAAGGCAACCCAGTAATAAAAATTATATTTGCCATTCAGTGAAATAATAAAACTATGCCATCAAATTTCCAACACAACTATTTTACATCAATCATTGGTCAGTGCAAACGTGAACTTCCAAGCCAGGAGGGAAAGTTAATATTCTCATTTTCTTCCTTCCCATTTCCAGCTCCAGTAGAAAAACTTACAGTAAGCTTGTTTCTGCTTATGCTGTAAAATCTAATTCTGCACAACAGGCTGTCCAGATGCCCCAAGATGAAATGCTTCTGTGATGAGGGAATGGAATTTAATTAGTAGACAGAGTTATGATTCACGGTTGTTTGATCTCTTTTGCAAACTAGTAACAAATGCTTTAGTAAATGAGAGCTTAACCATTAACTGGTTGCATTTGTTTGTTCAGCCACTTGTGACATCTCTGAATGCTGGTTAGAGAATGGCTGTCTGCAACCTCTGGGGACACATGGTGTGCTTCGATGCCAGATTGCCACTCAATACGTTAATGTCCTCGGAGAAAGTGTTCCATGAGTTTTTTAGGAGTGTGGTGGGAAATGACATCACCTGTGAGTGCTACAGACAGCAGCAGCCTCACACCACCCCTGGGCACGACCCCCACAGCCAGTGGGAGACATCCTTTGGAGAAGTACTGCCATGCAGAGCTGATCTCCAATGGCACCTGCCTCCCTCAGCCCCTCTGGCAGGGGCTTATAGGGACTACTGGCACACTCTGGAGATCCAGCCTGCATCAGTGGAGCTGCAGGAGCTAAGCTCTCTTGCAATTTTCACACATTTGCTTTTGCCTACCTTTGGCAGAAAGCATGTTGGGTAAATGCATTAGCAGCAAGGTCAGCTCACAAGGTTGTTGCCCTATTGTTAATGAAGCTGTTTTCCTCTCCTGAGCATTCATCAGCCATTGAGTCTTACTATCACCATACCCATTAATTTCATACTGACATCCAAAGAGACTTGCCAATCATCATGTGAGTGTTTCCAATAGCCAGCAGCATATTACCTTCAAAAATAAACTGAAGTAGCTTGCGTGACCATAAAATCCAGCTAAGGGCTACTGCTTCCAATGCTAGACAACAACTCAGCCCGACTCTGAAGAAAAACTGCCAATAGCTTTCACTGGCTACCAGCAATTCTCTTTCTTAATATAAAGAAGACATCAAGATCACCTTGAATATGGTACATACCAGGTGACATGTCCCAGTAAAGCCATAACATTGGCAATGCTCACAGGAATGATAGAGAAGGATGAAGGAGGATATAACAACTCAACAACAACAAAACATCTTGATGGAAATAGGGTCAACAGATTCATAGAAGCCTACATTATTTGTAGGCATAAACTAGGCTTGCTTTATTTGTGCACTGGAAAGGTAACCAGTTGCAGATACAGGAACTCCTGAAAGCATAAGAAATGAGGATAAACAAAATGAACCCTGACAACAAAATAAAATGGATTAAGTTCCTACATTGCAAAATTAAGCCTGGATGAATAAAAATACTAGAAATAGTTTGTTTTTCCTGCCTCCTTTTATTGTTAAGATACTTAACCTACAAGAAGTCATTTGGAGGAAACCTGATCTCTTCATTAAGAAAGCTGGACTGGAATTTCACAAAACTTGGAAAACAAACATGCTGAAGAACTTCAGGTGATTTTTACAGATGTTCTCCTTTGGTTGGAAAACTGTTACACATTTATAAATATGTCCCAAACGACTGTAATGGAACCATTTGTATATTTGACTGCAATATTATTAATTTTATGTAACACAGCCAGCCAAAACCTCAACAGGCTTCCCAAGGTGTGGCTCATTCCCTTGTCCTGCACTCACCAGCAGCCACAGTCAATGTCACTGGCTTCAGCCAGCACCCACCTGCCTCCTTCCTGCAAGGGGACCTGCAGGGCCACCCTCCAAGAATGCTTTCTGGAACCAAGGCTAAGACTTTTGGTTACAAAAAAACAGGTGGCTTTACAAAAAAGGAAGTAAGCAGTTGCACTGGTTCAGTTGTTTTATGTCTCAAGAAAAATATTTTACTAAGTTTTACAAGATTAATCCCCATTCAGAAATACATTGTTCTTTCATTAAAGAACAAGAAAGGAAAAACAGTTACTAATTAGAAATATTTATTGTCCTTACAAACCTGCTGAATTTTATATCAAATCCTTAGCAATGCCATTAGAAATTTGTTTCCATTTTCTTATTAGGAAGATATTCTAGATATGGTTTAGTGTTAACAGAATTATTAAAGCAACAAGACAGAGGAAAGCTGGTGCTAATTTCCTATTTGTAACACTTGCTTTTTTGTTCACTCGTAGAACATTTTATTATCAAAACCATAATGTCTGGCACAGACCTCCCAGCATACACTGACGCTGATATTATCGACGTTAAAAGGTCAATGCTGTCTATTCAGAATTACTTCAACAAGAATGAAAACTCAGCAGAAGACAGCCACAGATTTACAATGTCTTTTACAAAATGCTCATTTCTCAGTAAACTTAACACTGATTGGAAGGCCAGCTCAGTTTTCAAACATATTTAAATCCTCTGCAGTCAGTTCTCTCCTAAATC